CCCCAAAACCCCAAAACCCCAAAACCCCAAAACCCCAAGATATTAACTTAAAATGAATGATGCTAATAAATAATTTAATGTTTAATCTAAGACTATATGGAAGGTTACCATTCTCTTGTTTTAAAGCAAGAGGAATGTTTCCTTTATGCACTGCAAACTTTTGATCAAGACTTTTATCTCTTAAGGGATCGAAAGAAACTCCTCAGTCTTTAAAGAAGATCGGAAGAAACACTTCAACACTAGATAAAGGATGGGCAAGCAACCCAGATTATGTCTTGAGCAACATTCACAAGTTAACTGAAGTTGAGGTGATGCAACTACTTGAGAAAATGGTGACCCTTCCTCATAAGAGATTGGAGAAGATCCTGATGGCCCAGAAAGAGGAAGACCCAGTGTTTATTAGCAACCTGATCGAAAGACTACCCCAATTTTTAACAGCAACCCTTGTAAAGATTACTAATGTTTGAGGAGGGCATTATGGGTCAATCAGAAGGAGCAAAATTTGGGATCATCTAGAGTTTGAATTTATGAAGAGATCAACAAGACTTAACGATCAGCAGCTTGTAGACATCCTTTTCTCATTCTCTCGCTTAGAAAAAGGATCTAAAGAGTTTTATGATGAAATGGAGTTGATCATTATCAAATCAGAGACAGAGTTTAGAGAAAATGAATTATTTAAGTTTTTGAATTCATTCTCTCAAGCTAAGCAGGGATCACCGGAGCTTTATAAATATCTTTCTGAGAAACTTATGATTCACAAGAATTCGTTATCCATTACTAGAATGGCAGAAATCTGCGCAGAATTTTCTATAGCTCCTAATGCTAAACTAGCAGGCTCTGGATTTAATGACTTCATTGAGAAAGAAATCAGGAAAAGAATCTCTTTAGGCCAACTTCACTTCTCAGAAGGGGCTAAAATTTGAGATAGTTTATTCATTAATGGGATAGGAAGTGCAGAATTTCAGGTACAATTAGAGGAGTACCTTGCTAATAGAGTTGAGAATGAGAAAATTCCTGAACTTTTAAGCTTAGCTCATGCCCTGTATAATCCTAAATATCAAATAAAACACTCTAAACTTCATCAAGAATTATGCACTGTCTTAACTCTCTCCATGGAAGAATTGAGTATCAGGCAGCTGGGTTTCCTATTTTGGAGTGTCACAAGAGACCAGAAACTATACAAGATGATCAAATCAGGAGATTCTTACTCTAAAATGCTAATTAAGGCTCTCTTGAATACCATATTTAGAAAATGTGTCAGTTTTAATTCAAGAGGTATCAAGAATATCATCAATAGTCTCCAAGATGCTTTCCCTGATTTGGAAATTATTGATGAGCTAAATGCTGAGTTCACCAAAGAGGAGATGTATGACAAGCTTGAGAAGGTCATTCTTACCAAGCTACATGATTTCACTAACCAAGACATTCTCACCATCCTTGAATCCTTCTTCAAAGTTGGAGCTGGCTCTGAAGCTTTGTATGAGAAAATATTATCTCGACTGATAGATAGGCGCAGAGAGCTGAAGCCAAGGGAATTCATCAAGTTGTTCGAAGTCTTGCCTCAAGTTGGTCCTATCTATGAGAGCACCATGAATGAAGAGCTATGGGAAGACTACCTTGAATCTGTCAGAAAGCCTATTATGAAGAAAACATTGAACATAACTGAAATCCTCAGTGTCTTTAAGACTTATGTGAGCGTCAATTATATGAAAGGTGGCTCTGAGATTTTTTATATGATGCTAAACCAGATTAGAAATGGAATTAATCAAGTCCCCGCCGAAAAGTTCACAGAGACAATGACTTATCTTGTAGAAGCTCATGTGATGGACATAGCAGAAAAATTTGTACCTATTTTGAAACAAGTTCGTGATTCTAATCAGTTGCTAGATATTTTCAGAACTGATGATGATAGAATAAGGCTTTTATGGGCTCTTTTTGTTCTTGACAAAACAGAAAAACTTGTCTCTGTTGAAAATATCAAGGAGATGGTAAATGGAGTGCAACTCCAAGAGTTGGATGCTTTTCATCTGAAAATATTCTTACAAGTTTTACAACTGACACTGTTTAATGAAGGTTACTCAAATGTGATTGATTACAATGATTATTATGAGCAGCTGAACAACCTTGATGATGGTTACAAAGAATATATTCTTACCAATGACTTATAGCTTCCAAAACGAAAAACGATATTAGACTTAAAGCAAAGTCTAAGTTAGAAGAAATAATAGAAAATCCAACTCCTGAAGGTCAGAAGAAAGGTAATTTTAGTGTTAAAACCAATCTAGACCCAAATATCACCTATGAAATTTACAACAACTTCATTGACGATTTCCTGAACTGAATTGATGTAGTAGCTTTCAAGCTTGATGCTAAAAAGGATCTTCTTCAAAAGATAGCTATCGTTATCAACAACCAAGGAAAATACCTGGCATACTCTTTAGAGGATGACGATGACCCAAAGCTCAAGATGAGCGAGTACATCAAGATCAAGATAATGGGGGAGATCTACCAATGGGATGTCATTAATGTTGATGATGACAAACTCGATCTCATCGATTCCAGTCTGAAAGGCATATTGTAATTAATTCCAGCCACGATTTTCGGTATGGGGTTTTGGGGTTTTGGGGTTTTGGGG